AGGAAGACACTCCACCGAGTACTGCACACAGAAACAGACTGCTCGACAGGCTCTATCTGAAGTCAAAGGTTTCCATGGGCCCCTGCACATCAAGAGCTTTGATGCTGTGCTGGCAGGGATATAGCAGACAGTTTCACAAATCATAGTTTATAAGAGGTCGGGGACTCGTTCAGAGCAGGCTGCTCCACCGGCCCATCTGTGGCAGGGAGCGCTCAGAGCTCCATTTCCCCACGACGGGATTAGATGGCTTCAGGCCTGAGCAACCTCCCTGCTTTTCGTCTGAACAGGCTCGTCTGGGAGACTTCTGCACATATTTGTTGCTTTCTGCATGAAAAAGTGCTTCCTGACATCTGTTCTGCATTTGCGGGTCCTTAATTCCCATTAATTCCTCCCCCCTGCTCCCCTCTTCGGGTCTAAGTTGCAAATAGTAATCTGACAGAGATGGATCTCTCTCTTAAGGCTTTATATGCAGACATCCACTATGTTCACATCTTTCTTCATTTTTTCACAGATATTCCCAAGACAGTGGGGAGGGAGGGGGGTGTTTTTTAAAATTGCTTTTACAGCTTATCCAATTTTAGCATTGTAACAACATCATATAGCGGATTTATGCTATGTAATTTCACAGGTTACAGTCTTTTTTGCAAATAATCTAACGGCACTGAATGCAACAGGCTAAAAGTATAAGTCTAATCTCTGCCTCCATGTTTTCTTTTGCTTTCTTAGCTTTTTTTTTTTTCCCCCTCCCAGTTGTGCCCTAGGTCTGGAAGCATTACTACAAGGCTTGCCTACGCTTGCTATTCTGTATCGAACGTTATGACAGGGACAACTGAAAAACTCAAACAAAACCTATTCAGATTTCATTGTAACCTGAAGAAGTTGAAGCCTCAGACAAGTCCAAAACTGATTCTTCCTTCATTTGTATATTTGGAACAAATTCAGAGCCCATCTTATTTTCATGCCTGCATAAACTTTAGACTTTCATGTACAATTTATACTATATAAATTTTACTTTCTTTTTCATTGACAAGCATAGTACTGGAATTCTCTGTCAAAGTCTTGAAAATCAGCATCGTAGTGCTGCCAGCAAAAAGCTTGCGCTGCTGTTTTTACCTGAACATGTTTCAGCGTTATTTGTTTTGTTATGGGACTTTATGGCTCGAGTTGCACATAACAATGCTTTTTATGAACGTTCATGACCCCAGTAGTCTTTGGAGTAATGTTTTATTGTGTTGATGCATTATTCTTTTCAAAAATAATTAAAAGGATACCAGAAATGCGACTTTCTTTGTTCTCATTCCCTCCCTTTCTGTATGATTTTGAGCTAATTGCTTACATATTACATCTTGGGGGATGTTTAACTGATGCAAAAATAGTTATTCTCTGTAAGCTGTGAATAGGGTAGTTTTTACAGAAAATGCACACTTGCCTTAGAAGTAAAAGGTATTCTAGGGAGGAGGGATACTTCAAAGGCAGACAGAATCCGTGCAACTCTTTCCACAAACCTCTAATGGATCTGAATGAGTGCATACCATTACGGCTACAGATCTCCTCAAGGTTACCTGCAACAACCTCCAGGTGGTCTTAGCATAATTCCCAACCCAGCTTAAAAACCACCAGAACCATTCCTACCTTTAATTTATATTTTAATTTATATCAGACCAAAAGTAAAGCAACCCTGTTAGGCAACGAAGGCAAGATTCTGATCTGAACCACCACGCGCAACATAACACTTCGACTCTACAACAACGTTATCCCAGCGCCCAGGCCAGCTGGAGCCTCATACAAGTAGGAAAGAAGAACAAAAACTCATAGAACAATTCTGGATTTTAGCTACTTGTTGGCTTACTACTCTGAAAATATGAAAAAATTCTCTTGTATGAAACCCTCGAGTATGCAATCTAATCTTGTTTACACATCTTACTTTTCTATCTTCTGTAATACATGCTATTCACTTCCTTTCAATAATTTAAAAATCAAAATATACCAGTATCTTGATGATAGTTATGCTATTATATACTTTTGGCACTCCATATATTAGTCTTTTCAACACCCAAATGCCTGACAGCATAAATACTAGCTGAAATATGATTTCCTGTTTATAACATAAGGTACATGTATGAAATGATTTGTCTCCAAGGCAAGTTTAAAGAATTGCTTACCACAGCGTCCAGCATCGTTCCTGTACCGTAACAGCTGGGAACTCAAGAACTATGTAGCACCTACCCAAGCAAATCTGCAAGCTACCACTATTACCAAAAAATTTAGGATTCTCCCCACTGGAAATTCATACTTTGATTCTCCAAATAGTTACCAATAAAAGCTAATGCACAAGGAGGGACCAATGATATTACCTGATCTAATAAAAATTACCTCTGTACAAAACTGTTTCCCTTCTATTTCTAGACTATCACTGTATTACTATTACAAATTATTCTCAAAGTGCCTTGAACATATGCATTTAGAGGATGAAAAACTTCAAAATGTAATGCCTTATTTGCAAATTTCATTACTACTGTTTGCATTTTACTATCTTATTTGATGAAAGAACAAGATTCTACATTTATTCAGTGTACCATGTAACACAGGTTTCCAAATGCACAAACACCATTTTCTCCTCTAAATGGGAAATTCTCAGCCAACTGCCACTTTCACTTAACAAAGCTTCCCAGAATGGCCCAGAAAATCAAAGTACTAAGTACAGGTTCTTCTCTTGAATGTATTCACGTTTCTTGGAAACACCAAAACTAATAAATCTGTGCCCAAGGCCAAACATCAATCAATAACACCGACAGGAACGGTTCTGGGGTCTCCAAAGAAGTGCTGTAACTACTACAAGCCCAGTCTTCATGCTTAGCAAATGCTGATCAGCAGTTTTGGTTAAGAAGTAGGTAATGCTGTCCCATGAGGGTGGCTCCAGGAAAGCAAAGTAATGCCTTCCAAGATTACTAGATTTAACCTGCAACACCATTTAAATGTCTTTAACTTCCACAGATCTAGGAATGGGGGAATTTTAAGCCATCTGAGACCCTGGAAGTATTTATCTCATTTCAACTACCAAGAGCACAGCAAAAAAAAAAAAAAAAAAAAACCCACTTGACACTGGTGGATGTTGTCTGATGCCTGGGTGCTACTGCACGGGCTCCAGTTTGGTCCAATCCTGCTAGAGCTTCACACAATACAATCACACAAAATAATGACTTGACAAAACCTGCAGTCTTTCTGGCAATTTTTCAAATCTCTGTGTAAACATGAAAAGCTGGGACTGATCTGCACAATGGTTTTTATTCCACAAATTTAATCAGGCCAGTGCCAATAGGAAAAAAAAAACACGCAAAGGAAAGATATGAAAAAAGTTCACAATAAAAATATGTCTTTGAGGGAAGGAATTTGATTTTTCTAGTTTGATTTTACATCCATGTCTATGATTATTGTTATTAAAGAAATCCTGCATTAATACAGTGTCATTTTTTCAACAGAGAAATATAAAGAAAATTTAAAAAAAAACAAAGAACATTAAGGTGATGTGTTAAAAAAACCTAGTAGCAATAACTGGCATCCTCATCTTTCATTCATGCTTACATGGTCCTCCTTCTATGATGTGTAATATTTAAGTTAGTCACATCTATCCTGTCACCTCCTTGTAAATAAGTATCAAAAGAAAAATATATCCAGCGCCAAACAATACACTAGATAATATTTAGCCATGTTTTAGCTCTTAGCTACTTTTCCTCTAGCAATGCTTTTGAGTGTCCACATAATTCACCATCTACAAAATTCTTATAGCTCAAGAATAACGATACCAATAAAGTTTCTGATCTTTATATGCACTTTCATTATGAAAGCCAGAGGAAGAATACAACACTGAACATGTTTAGTATTAATTTGCTCCTTCACACACAGATGTCTTTGGATCATGAAAGCTGGTGGTCCCTTGAGTAAGAGAGCTATTCCCCCCCCTTCATTTCTGACCATTCCTTCACGTTGCAGACCAATGTTCTGACATTTGCCAGCTGAAAAATAGTCCTTTTGTATATACATGGAACTGTGCTGTCTTGATAGTTTACAGATATTCAAGATCTATTTTAAAAATGATTTTTAACTTAAAAACACTCATCTCGAGCTTTGAAAACACGACTGTGGCCAGTGACACTCGCTTTAAGCGGAGAGCTAACAAAATTCAACGTAAAATGTACAACGTTCAGAAGCAATAAAACCTGAGCCAGCTTTCTTTTTGCAGACATCTGAATAAACTAGGAGGCAGAACTGAAGGCAGGGTATTCTCTCATGTGAGGAGGGACTTGGGGATTTTTAAGAACTAACCAAAAACCTAGTAATGAATAAGAGGTAGAAATATTTCACAGTAGAAAGTGAAAATTAATTAATATGCTTATCTTTTTCATAATCCTAGGCCCAAAGCTTACATTTAATACTCTGCTGCTGTAAAATTTAGGACAAGAGCAGCAAAATACACCTCATTTACTCACATACTTATTTTCTTCTTTACTGGTACAACTGTATGATTTATATTTCACACAATTAGTTTGCTGTTTTCAGCTTGAAACACATTCTCCTGTGGGAGGAATAAGAAACTCAACCACCGATGCAGATGTTTTGACTGCATAGGGTCCTGAGTTTTATTAAGGGCAAGAATGATTCCCCCTCCCCCCCCCC